CAGGCGCGTGGAGTCCTTGGAAGTGAAATATGATCCAGCTTCTTGCTTGAAATGTACCGCAACACTTATTATTGATGACATTCAGTGTAGCAGGAAGTTGTGTCATGATGAATACGAATTTAAAACTGTTCCTTTCACGATTTCTTGTTGCAAATTACATTTTTATCACCCGAAACTATAACACATAAAATTGCAATTTTCCAAACGCAACAAACAGACCCCTCTACTACCCCCTCCCTGAGATCAATAGGCCCTTTCAAGGTTTATTCCGCCATATTGCCATCCTCGTTCAACGCAGGCAGCCAAGAAGCCCTGGGAACGAGGATGCCATGTTGCCGGGGGTGCAAAACATTGGGGCGAGCGCGCGGCCAAGCTATGGCTGCCATATATTTTACTAATGAGTGAGCGATAATTGTGTGTGGACATTTTGTTGATTTTCTCATGCTATATTAAAAGACAGTCCAAATTTTTGTATTCTGGCTGATCTGTGTGTATTTTCAAACAACTGGTAAAGATTTCAATGGCATCTGATTGGGGGAAATCCGTGAATATGCTGATTTCTTCGACACCTTTAGGCGAGCTGTTTACAGTGGATTCACGACAACGAAACGCCGAAAACAGGGCTTTTACGTTTGTGTTTGTTTAACAAAAATATGTAAATATTGTCTATGGAACTGTACATAGGGGAGAAAAATTAAAACTAAATAAATGATAAAAAAAACTCTTTCATTGGTAATATTTCTGTCCTCAGGTTTTCTGGGGTCAAATTCTTTCCTCAATGTTTAATTGTGGCCAGGATTTTGGTCTAAATATAAAATTTTTAATCTTGCTTGGATTTACTTCTTTTCATGTTCCTTTGTTCCATCCTTGGGGAACACTGGTAGAAGCATACAGGCAGGGGAAATATATTGCTTGTTGTAAGCATAGTTGATATTATACATAGAGGACTACAAGTACATGATTACATGCCAACTGTTATCATTTATAGACCTGGAGCGAGGGGGATTCGGCGAAATATTACCCGAAGTGATGATATTTCCCGAGGGGCTTTGCCCCGAGGGAAATATCATCACTGAGGGTAATATTTCGCCGAATACCCCGAGCGGAGGGTCTATAAATGATAAATTATACCGAAAATTAAAAGCCTCCAAGTTGAAAACTAAAAACTTGACACATACCTTCGTGAATACGATGTTTTATTTTCGGATTAACGCAAGTATCGTCGCTTTTCTTTCGAATCACATATCGTTTGGAATATTAATGACAAAGCCCCAGGTTTTAGGTTTGAAAAAGCCCCAGGTTTTAGGTTTAAAATTGAATTATTCATCACTCATTAATAC